AAAATGAGAAATGTCTATTGGAAAATCCTTCTCTATTGTTTTGAGTCCATATTCGGTTCCGGTTATCATTACGGTCATTGTTTATATCGGAGAGCCAATGTGTTTAAAGTGTAGGTTTTCCTGGAGGTTAACTAACTAACGTTATAAAGATTAAGAAATTTTACTACCATAAATCAAACGAAAATAATATTTTTTTCAAGTGGTGTACAAGAATTATACCCCGTGGTACAAGACGGCTACAATATGTCTTAACACGCGTGCATTCAATTTGATTTTATAGAAGGCCCATTTCACATCCAGACTGAACTTTTCAAGAAAGTGCGGTTCGACGAACACATCATTGCATCTGGGCTAACGGGGGATTACTTTCAGAGACATAATAAGGAACAGCATGCTACTTCTTTTGTCTGCCCTGTCACCATATTTTATAACCTTCAGAAAGATACCTGGAAAATGTTCGGCAGAAAATGGAACATGCGACGAAATATTTTATCAACGGGACAGGATGTAAATACAGATTGTCAAATTGATTATAAATGTTTATTTTGGAAAAGTTTTCCTTTTCACCTTGTTGCTTGAAGGAGGTTGCAAGTTTGGTTAAATACATCATGGAGTCCTGTCGCAAGGTTGGTGCAGTCTGTGGACTGCAGGAAGGCACGCTCTTAGGAGCAGTAACTGTTAAACTTATAAAAGATATTGTTATGGGAACACAACGCTAATAGACGTTTTCTTTCCTTGAGTTTTTCCAACATTTTAACGGTTCTATTTAAAATGAAAGGGTACGCATTAAATATTGCAAAGAGACCGAAAGAGACCGAAGACGGTGTTGCGACTGGTGGTAAGGTAGTCATTTCCAGCTAGCGCTGGCACGTTAAATTGTACGGAAATATTATATGGATTCAAAATCGTTACCGAAAAATGGAGACACTCCTACAAAATTACTACTGAACGGTGACTGGTTCAACGCTCCCAGGAACCCGGGTTTGTTCGTTCGGAACAGATACGGTTTCCGAGTGTATGCGCATTCGAAACATTGGATGGCAACGGAGAAAAGAACTGGTTGGGCAGAATACTCGACAGATTCATTTATGGCATGTAGTCAACCTAGTTTGCATAACTGTCAAATCCGATACTAAAACATGTTTATTCTGTAAATTCTTTCTACCCAAATATTGAGGTGGTTCACGTATCTTTCTTATGCGCATATGTTGTGTTTTATTCAAAGATGACATCCTTATGATATTCGGCAATATTTCACTATTTCAAAGATAGAAAGCGTAATGGTGATTTTGCACGCATCAACGATTATCACTTTAAAGGCCTTTTCAAAAGCAGTTTTCAGTTGTCCAATCAAAACAAAATGTAGAAAGACACAATATGTTCATGGAACTAGTGTTTTGAATACTATTGTATTGTATTGCTACTTTTGGTTACTTTCTATATCAGTCAACCGGTTATACTTAATCGTGTGCATTCAGTCAGCAAACTAGATGACGTTCATCTGTGAAAAGTAAAAGAAATCAGTTGTAATCTTATTACATCGTCAAGCACCTATGATGAATATCTCGACCACCGTCAGGGTACTTTGTATGCATGTTGATATCAGGTCTGTGGTTTCCATACAGAAAAGTCTGAATTAAAGAAAGGTGCCTGTGGATAGAATAGAGAGAGAAACATATCTGACTGTTCTATCTGATAAAATCATGATCAAATACATGACAGATTCTTTTTATCAAACGTGTACACAAACAATGGACGTATCAAACGTGTCGTAACGCTTCAAGACCGACTGGTCTCTTTGTCAAGCTTTGATTATGGATAACGCTTGCCGAAGGGACACGTTGAAACGTTGCAACACGTTTGATGCGTACATTTATTTATATATTATATTACTTTAATACATACATATTCCCAAAATGAAGAATAATATTGATGACATGGCAACGTTTTAATCACATGCAAAGAGTAAAGTTTAGTGCCACTGATATTGATATGTCAATTATGGTATAAAAAATTGCTGTGATGGAAGTATTAAGTACAAATGAAGTACTTTAGCCCTTGGCACATGAATTTTCCATGAATCCGTGTTTGCTTTTACAATTAGTATATGTATTTAGGTATGTTGTATTACCGAGGCGGTGTGTATACCATATCATTATCACAGTTGTCTGGGTCGTTGTCTAATACCGTTGATGAATGACATCGATATTTTTGTTTGAAACACATAGAGAATAAACAAGAAAAGCTTTTGAACATAATTTACCCAACTTATTGATAAAGATATGAGTGCTTTTCAAGATGTATATCCTAAACAAAATTATCCCACTTCAGATATCAAAGTTATGAAGCGATGTGGTGGTAAAGCGAAACTATTTACATCTCTACACTAACTATCTTACCCCGGTTGGCCTTTTCATATTCCTAGGTGATATAACTCGTTATTTGGCTTTTTTTAAAGCATAACGTCTTTGATGTATAACATTACTCATAGTTGATGTAAACTTCAGGATACTCATACCACTGCCAAAACAAAAACTGTGAACTGGAAGCCGCACTTCCGAACGACGAAACAATATTCAATAACAGTACTCTGATTGAAAACAAAAGTTGGACTAGACCGGAATTCGAGCCCTGAACTTTGTTGTTATATTGTCGCTTAAACCGACTGAGCTGCCTAGTCAACGAAAGTGTCCTGATCCATCTGTGCTAGTTATATCTAAAACGAAAGTGGCCTGACCCATCTGTGCTAGTTATATCTAAAACGAAAGTAAGAAGAGGTTACTGTATGTACGAATAACTTCAATGTAGTGGGACAATGATACTTAAAGTGATTACATACACATGTGTTGTGTTGTGTTTATACGACCATATTAGATCACGCACTAAATAAATCTACTTATCTAGCAACAAGAGAGAACATTTAGTATTTAGTAAGTGTATACTAGACAGTTGATGAGATGAAAAGGTATGAATTATTCATTTAATATAACTGTTTAACATTACAACGCACCATCCACTAGACCACATAATGTAAGTCACATAAAACAACAAGAACAAAACATAATTGAATATAATCACTACAAATACGAAGCATGTGTAAAAAATATTAAAGAGACGATTCTGAAAGTCAAATAACATAATTATTCATTAAACTATATCCGCCTTCAGTCGTCCATTTTTGACTTAGTGGTATTAAAAATTGAAAGAAAAAGGGGAAAAATCCTTGTTTAAAATGTTTCGTAGTTGCAGCATGTCTTCTTAGGAATACTGCGCATATTGCTTTTCTCCTTCAGTTTCGTCTTAGGGATGAAATTGCTATTTTCTATCCTGCAGTACACTGCACTCCAATAGGAAATGCATCGGTGTCTGGTTCTGACAAGTGAATTTCACTTGGTTTCGCTTAAATTTCTTCTTGTTAGCAGTCATGATTTCGATAGAGGTTGCCACCGTAGTTTTACCCGAGTTTAAAAACGGAGTAGCTTTAAATTTGTTATCATTGTATAACAGAGAAACTGTAAAACTGATATCATGGTATAATAGAGCAACTATAGCGCTGTCATCATTACATAACAGAGTAACTATAAAACTGTTATTATTATATAACAGAGTAATTATAACGCTGTTAGTTATCATTGTAAAACCTGCAACTATTAAACTGTTATCACTTTATAACAGAGTAACTATAAAGATGTTATCATTGTAAAACATGTAAATAAAAAACTGTTATCATTGTATAACACAGTAACTATAAAACTGTCATTATTAAATAATTTAACGGGCTAAAATGAAAAATTCGAGACGAGTTATATGAATTGCATATGAAATGAATATGACTGTAAGATCCTTTTCATCACATAATCAGAATTTGTGGCATTTATTCATGTAACCTTGAAATGTAAAAAGTCGCCGTTTTGACTCCAATGCGTAAGTCTGTGATGTCCTGTACTTGTCCTAGGCGTGACGTCACACTTGAAACTTACAACCAATCAGGGGGCTGATAGGTCATATTACATTGGTTAAAACGCAAACAAGTATGAAATGGGTATATTCACTGGATAACACAGTACACTATGTGATAAAACATCGTATTATTACATAACCGAAGACATCTGGTCTTATTTTTCTTGTACTTTTTAAATGGCTTCGTTGTAAATATTTGTTGGATTTGTAGTTCAAATTATTTAAAATGTTTGCACTTATCAGTGCAAGTCTCATGCTATCACATCTTTCCATGCCTTAACCATTGTATATTGTCTAGCGTCGTTAGTCAAACCACCTTATTCAAAGATTAAATGACTGGATCAGTTTGAAATGTTGGGTAAAAGGGATATCAAGATCATTGACAATTTGCTTGGTTGGATAAACAACGATGGAGTATAATCATAACACTATAAATAATTAAAAGTTATAAGTGATACAACTTTGTTTTTCCTCTTACAGAGTTTCTATGCATTTTATTAACTTGCAAACCATGGGGGGGGGGGGGGGGGGGGGGGGAGTGCGTAAATCTCTTAATTATATGAATTAAAAATTAAAGGAGTACTGGTTCATTTCAAATTAATAATGAGTATCATTATATACTGTCACAACCTCTGTTAAAGGAACAATCGGAGACATCAGTCTACTACCTTGTATCTTCATATGAACACGTAAGACACGCACATACAAGTGATTACACCTTTAGTAATAGATATAATATGCCAAAAACGAATTACATGTCATCATACAGATGTTCCTTCTACGACTCACCGGTGATGCTAGTGGCCAAACATCCAAATTAGTCTTTACGTCAATAAACAAAAGTATACTAACAATAAATAAATATATATATATATATGTTCATAAATAAAAAGCAAGCAAACAAACAAGAATATATAAGTACCTAGAGAGAAAGCCATTACAGTCCTTTCTTTGCCGTTCATTTGTCGGTCCTTTCTAGAAATCTCTCAGGTTGAAACCTATCCGGATTCTCAAACAGGTCTGGATCAGTCATAACCGAGTCAAGATTTGCCATAATGACCGACCCTTTTGGGATTAGCATGCCTCGGAACTGGATATCCTTCTAGGCTCCGTGAGGCACAGACAGTGGAGCGATGTTGCCCATTCGGAAAACCTCTGTTATAAATGCTTCGTAGTAAGGCATGGAGGGTTTGTCGCCGAGTGACGGAATCCTTGACGTCCCGACCACAGTTTCTATCTCCTGTCGGAGCTTATCTTGGATAGGTTTGTTGTGAATAAGGTAAATTATCGCCCAGCGGATCATGGTAGCTGTTGTTTCAGTCCCAGCAAGGAACAGATTGATGACGACTGTTGCTAAGTTCATATCTATAGACATACAGAATATGAAAATAATGTCAGGCGTAAGAAATACTGGATTATTTGACATCATGCTTACACGAGTGAAAAGACAAAAGACAATAAAATTAATCGTTTGTCTCCGGAAAAAGTCAAAAGGGTAAATAGGGAAAAGAAAAGCATGGTAATTTTTTGCTATGATTTGAAGAATGGTACAAGGTGTTGTGTATAAGGTTTTAATACGGCTTTAATGAATCATCTTTCATAAAAAAAATCCAAAATTTCAATAGTTATCAAAACTATAATGTATCTTTACATTTTTAATACACATATTTCTGGTACCTTCTAAGAATCTAATATGGACATACGGTTGTTATTATTATATATTTCAAACAATGATTTTAGTTATGTCAAATGTTTTTAAATGAAGAAAATCACACACGTAAAATGATAATAATCTTTTCTTCATCAACAATCTAACCATATATCTTTGTTACACCTACCATCAAATATCGGATCATCTTCGTCATGTTTGATTTGTTGTCTCAGAAACGCATCAATAAAATCTCGCTGATTTTCTTCTGCAAACGTTTTTCGATGCTCGGCTATTTGTTCAAGAGCAAAACATTTGATATCAGTGAAATTTTGAATTAACTTCTTTACATTGAACATATCTCCAGGAAGAAATCGTACACCTGGAAATGATCGTATGGCCCCTCCAACCGAATTTAACCTTAAGTTCTCAGCAAAAAGTGACGTTAGTCGTTTGAATTTTGCGTCAGTGTATTCAAATCGGTTTCCGAACGTAATACTGCATATGATATTTGATATGGCCATGGTTGTCATTTCTTTTATGTTGTAAGATTGCCCGTTTTGTTGTTCAATGATATCCAAATAAGCTTCTATTTCTTCTTGGACTCTTGATTCCAAAGACTTCTTTCCAAATCCAAAATTCCGAAGTGTCGACAGAGAAAAAGTCCGTGTTTGTTTCCAGTGATCACCGGAGGCGAAACCAATACCTATAAAGACATAAGCAAGTTATAAAACTTATATTAATCACTTATGTTGGCCCGGATGCAGGTGCGCTTTTCACTGCGCCACCCGACCATTACACAAAATTAAGATAAACAAAAGATGATTTTGTCCGGAGTGGAAAGTATCCTGTATTACACATTAGTTCAACAGTCAAGCTTACATTGAACAATGCTAATACCACAACGATTAACAATTTTGTGGTCCAGAAAATTCGAAATATCAAAAGTTCAGAGACCAAATCAGATGATCCCCCTCCACGTAAAACGTTCTTGTATTCCGAAGTAACTCAAAGTAAGGTGTCATTCCTCGATTACCATGTCTCACCCTGATCAGATTTGGCACTCATAGAATATCAGTCGAAAGTAGGCTAGCAAATTATGAAAAAGTGACCATTCTCTCTGCACGATGGGACGACATTCATTTATCCAAACATGCTACCATGTAAATACTTATTTTCTAAAGTAACGTTTTCTTTTGTCAGGTTATTTTATTCCGTCTTTAACTAAGTAATTTAAATAGCATCTATTAGGCCGTACATGTATACTAAACCATAGGGCTACATCGAGAGCATGCTGATTGGATTTATTTTCAGAATGGGTCAAGTCTACCACGTCCATCAGCCAAAAAAGTCTGTGCTTCCTTACCCGACTGTCCCAACCAAACTCAACAATCTGCTTGATTCGAGTGTATTTTTGTCTACAGAGAGAACATCAAATATTTTAATTCTGTCTGCAAAACCTATAACACTGCCTGCTTGCGGAAACAGAACTAAGCTTGCTTGATAACCAAGGAAACAATACCTATACACTTTCCATATTTTCTTATCGCGCTTCATGTATAAAAGAAATCGTTTCTGATACCCATTCATGATATCGATACGGACCTGCCTCGTTCGTATTGTATTCCGAAACTTCACAAGAATCTTTGATATTTACTTAATTTCATTCCTTATCTCATTTACGGTATAATATAATATAATATAAAGCAATACATAACTGTTGAAATGTAATTTGGAATCAAGTTTTACAACTTATACTAGACCCATCTTCAGATATATCGGCGAGGTGCTGTCTTTATTACATTTATCAACCACGTCAATCGTATTTATACCCTCCTGTACTTGAAATCAATGACCCTACCAGCTCTACTACATGTACCTCAGCCGCTTTCCTCAACCATTTCTCACAACATGACCAACAACCTTCCGTTCCCTCTCCGCTGTGGAACTTCGTTTTTCCGGGAGGTTAGCTTCCTATGATAGGATAGCCAGATGGGCCGGGCGGGACATTGGCAGGCCATTGTAGTGTCCGACTGACTAGCAGGATCAAAAATACAACAACGATAGCCACTGTCACAGTGTTAAAGCTGAGAGACGAGCCGAAATCCATGTTGCTTCGAAACACACACTGAAAACTGACAATATAATTGCAACTGTGACCTATACAGACAAACTATAAGGCGCGACCGCAGACGATGTATACAATTATCTCCCCGGTTACGTCAAATGGAAGCACTACGAGCTCAGTCGACGATCTAAATGCAGGGCGGCTTACCTTTCGTTCTATTAAATGACCTTCAGTACGAATGTTGTTTATCCAGTAGAATGTTAAAAATAGATACATGTATGCCCTATTGTGACTAAAGACAAAATGGTTAATGGGGTTTTGTAAATGTGAAAATATAATTAAAAGATAAAGTTTCGGGTACTTTGTCAGCCAGACGTACCTAGTAGGGTCGACAAAAAGAACGACATATATATTTATATATGACCTTGATGTCAACTATAGAAAGACGTGATGTTTTACCTTTTGTGATTTTCGTGGCAACTCTGGCTGTAGGAAAATGTGTGCTATCTATTCACTTTGTGCTATGCATTATATATATAGCCCTTTTCATTACATTGTTACCCGTGTGCTTCCCTGTACATTCGTCACGGTCTTCTGGAGCTCATATGGACATTAGTATAGCTAAACGTTTTCCTCATGTTGGGAAGTATGTCTTATGAAAAGTTCTTTTTACACAACCAATGAAATGTTAAATGTGACGTTTCGATGACTAATACGATATGTACACTGTCACCTTCATCAGAATTGTTTTTGTCTGATGAAGGTGACAGTGTATATATCGTACTAGTCATCGAAACGTCACATAGAAAATTGTATTGGTTGTGTAAAAATAACTTTTCATAAGACATAAGTATAGAATTGAAAGATTTTCGAGAGGCCCAAGGGGCCCTGCGTGGTACTGCTACATCAGAGATCGTCATTGCAATGATTCAGAGGATGGACAGTCGATTGGTAACCGGTTTAGGAGCAAACGTAACAGAGAAAAACACAGACAAGTTTGAGTTTTCGGTGACTTCTCTAGCATGTAAAGTGATTGGTTTGGAATGTGAGATAAAGACCGTTTGAGAGAACTAGGAACATCAGCGCAGAATAGGAGTAACCTCTATGAGGATGTAAAGACAAGAACAGAGGCCAGCGAGCTAACGGTTAGACGAATGGACAGTCAAGTGGAGGAACATCGCAGATATAAGGACAGTGAGTTTCATTCCCTCAGGAAGAAGTTAAAGAACTCTCAGTGTTGTAAAAGACCTCCTGTGCCGTTCCATGAAGAAGAACTTAGTTTTCACTGGTCTGCGGGAACAATACAATGAAAATACTGAAGACAAGCTCAAGGAATTTATATGGAACGAATTTGGATAACATGTTACCATAGCATTTGGCAATGTGCATGGTATCAAGAAATGCATCCTTAGTAGGAAACGTCCAATAACTGCTCGCTTATCGACAAGATTTATTTATCACGCTTATCGACAAGCAGTGTTGGAAAGAGGCTACCTCCTTCGCGGTATCCAGTTTGGTATAAGTGAACAGTTTCCTCGAAAGATTGAAGAGCGTCGCAAGCCTCTTTTGCATGTAATGAAACGATACAGAACTAACGGTTGCAGTGTAAAACTAGTTCGAGATAATACTGTTTACGGCAGGTTGTTCAATGGTCCTACTGAGGCATTACACGAAGAACTGAGTTTTCTAGAAAGACAACAGATATAATCTAGACTTAAACGTGGTTCTTGCATATATGCTGTGCAGGCTCCGCTAATTGACTTTAATACACTGCGAAACAGTAGACAGCCTTAACGGCAACTCATGTCGTCGTCTCCAATGGAAGACAGGTGAGCTAATATAATGTCTGATTCGTTTCCGACTCTCCCTTCTCAAGCTTTAGCAGCGGAACCATCACCTCATGATCATTCCACTCATGCTTTAGTCGGGAAACAGCCTCGCCAAGCAATCAGACCTTTGTAGTTGTGGCTGAAGTTCATGGACCATGAAAGGTCAATAGTAATTCAAATATTCCCTCTAAGCAATATGACAAGCCAAACAGTTCACAGTCATTTGGTGTACTTCCTATTCCCGATTATCAACCAACGGGAACGGTCAACAACGAACGCGCAGTTGTTTCATAGCAATTCAGGTAGCAGTGTACAGTAGCGTACGGTGACCATGGGTGATATTTTTATACAATGAATAACCCCTGTTATATTACATGTATCAGAAGTTAAAAAAAACATCATCTCTAAAATTGGCATATGCATGATGAATTGGACTATGTGGGCTTCACATTTTAAAAAAAATCGAATTTGGCTTGAGACTACATTTTTGGCCATTTACGAATCTGTGTCTACACAACAAAAGGTAGCTTTTCATGTAGTCTATTTTTGTACTCCGCACATGTGTAAATATTGTGAAAATTCCAGTTTGCAACCTATGCTAAAACGTGAGTATTTCTGTGACCGAGTAGGTGATATATAATTAAAGACGGGTTTTAAGAAAGCAATACTACTTGCTTGGGTCAAATTTTGGGTTAAACATCATGCTTTTTTTGCATTTTTTGGCGTTTTTTGATGTGGTAACCATGGTTTTCACAAGTCGCAAATCGGGGGAAATCACTTTAAAAAAAATAAAAATATTCATTCTTCTAAAAATAACGTATTTAAAATGTTGTTTATAAATATATATATATATATATATGTAGGTGTGTTGTGCAGGATGAATCCGCTATCCATGTTTATCCGAGACATGCCCTTTATTTTTAGGGTCAAGCCATTTCTACTGTACTCTGCTACCTCATGCAGAAGTAAATTCGCAGAGCAGATAAATCTTATTTACGTATACGATAATGTCAGTTTTAAAAGTAACATGAGCACCAGGACATAAAATCGGTTCACGAGGAGCCGCACCTCACAATCCATATCACGGTAGTGTGGAGTGTTTTCCCATTACGTCTTGAAACATATGTAGGTCTCCTGAAAAGTTTGAATATCAAGACTTCGTTAATATTGTAAATAATCATATTATTGTCTGCTGGTATGATTGCTGGGTCAATAAACAAGATGCTGTTGAATTAGTAGGTTATGAGACATGTATTTTCCATAGATTGCAAGGTAAAGGTGGTGGCATTGTTATTTTCATTAGATCTTCGATTGTTTTTCATTGAAAATATAAAAGACAATATTGTTTTACTAAAAGTATCTCGTGATATATACATGTATAATGACAATGTTAAATTATATTTTTTGCCGGTTATTTACCGCATGTAAATAACACTTTTTATATAAAAAAAAAAAGGACCAATGGGCCTGCATTGCTCACCTGGTATTGGACTCAAATACTTTGCAACTTACCAAATATCAGTACCTTATATATTTTGTTTATTGAGAAGATGACATTCAAATATTTATACACAATTGACCAGATGTGACATTGACAGTTTGTCAAGGTCATTCACATGAACAATATTGAGAGCTCTTCATCTGAGGATGCTAGTAGTCACTTATCACCATTCTTTGCATTTTGATTATCAAGAATATGTCATTTAAAGGGTTATTTTTACATATATATATATTGAATATAATCCAAGGTCATTCATTGAACAAACTTGGTAGCCCTTCAACCCAGCATATATCTGGCCTAATATCATCACCCTTGCTTTTTGGTTATTTAGAAAAAGTTGTTTAAAGTTTTCAACATATTTGACACCTGTGACCTGGAATACGGATGAAGATTATTCTTTAGAGCACTCTTCAAAGTTTCTTATTTGAGCATGCTACTAGCCGAATATCATTAGCCTAGGCCTTTTGATTGTTCAGAGGAAGTCGTATAAAGGTTTTTTTCAGACAGTTGACCTGTGTGACCTTGAATAAGGGTGAAGGTCATTCATTTGAACAAACTTGGTCACACTTTATATCAGCATGCTTCTGGCCAAATATCTTCACCCTGGATCTCTTGGTTATTCAGAGGAAGTCGTTTAAAGATTTTAAACATCTTGACACCCTGTGACATTGAAGATAAGTCAAGGTCATTAATTTGTACAAACTTGGTAGCTTTTCATCCCAGCGTGGTATTGGTAATTTATCAACATTCTCGGTTATTCAGGAGAAGTCATTTAAAGGTTTAAAATCTTTGATCCCTGTGACCTTGATTATAAGTCAAGATCACTCATTTAAACAAACTTGGTAGCCCTTAAGCCCAGCATATTACTGGCTAAATATCACCACCCTGGGCCTTCTGATTATTCAGAAGAGGTTAATTAAAGAAAAAAAAGTTGACGTCGGACGGACGAACGGACGACGGACGTAACACCAAGGCATACTTGGTCCTTCGGGCCAGGTGAGCTGAAAATGTGAGAATTATCTGTTTTCATGTCAAGAAGAAATGGTGAGTCAGTTAAAAAGGTAAAGTAACCGTACTTGGTGATTTTAAAAGCAGAGCGGATTACAACAGTTATCATATTTGTAACGACAGCATAGCTGACTTATCTGCTAATGTTAATTTAAATATTGTAACTTATATGCTACATTCTGTTCCACATAAACGTTCCAATTTAGATCCAGTTATTAATCAGTTTGAAAGACAACTTTCATCCTTGTGCAATATTACTGCCTTAAGAAAAGTTGTTTGAAGGCAAAACATGATCCAAATGACAGTATTACCTTCTATAATGGTAAAAGTACTAGTCTTGTCGATTATGTATTAACTTTTGATACTGTAATAGGAAAAAATATCAATTTTAATCAACTTTGGTGTTTGACACTTTCTCAGACCATTCTCCATTATGTGATACTTTGTGTTCAAATGTTCTCAGTTATGTCCAGGTACAATTTGGTAATCATAATTTGACACGTTTTAGATTGAATGATAATAATATGGAAACTTTTCTAGAAACATTCTAGTAGCTAGAATACTACAACGGTTCGTCTGTACAACGTAAGATACGTTCTGTGGAGTACCTCCAAAAATGGTAAAACATGGTAAAGTGTCCATCTTTTTGGTGTGACATAGGTCAACTAATGGATTGTATGTGTGCGAGGTGTTTTTTGGTATGGTTGGGATCCAACATATTTTACAAATATTGTTTAGCATCCTTTATTCTTTAGAAAGAAATCTAAAACACATCATGTAAATGAATCTGAAAATATTGTATTTGTTAGAAAAAGGTATGACAAAACATCAAAGCACTATACAAATGTAACAGTGATACATTGAT